TTCCTATGCTCCAGAGCAAGCAGTAGTCCCTCAGTTACTCTGGCAGATGGCATAGTCACTCCTGCTCTGAGAAAAGTCCTAGAATGGCACTCCCATGCATTCCCCTTGAACCACACGGCTGGTTTTGCTTAAGCGGCTAGCCTTCAGACTCAAGTTCCTCAAAATGGGAATATCAGTGACAAGAGAAAGCTGAGTTGCTGAATCCGATAAAGACAGAGCAGTGCTTTGCGTGCTAAAAAGGCCTGTATAAATAACGATGATATTTGAAGGGGCGTCCATCTGTGGACGGGTGGAAGGAGAAATGAAAGTGCTCTTAATTTTGCACACAGGCAGCTGTTCCTTTTAACTTGCATATACAACTGAACTACAAACTAGAAACATAACTTCCCAAGATACTTAACCAGGAATGAGGTCAGAAGGACTCCTCTTCTGAGTCTTTTTTTAAAAAAAGAGGTTTGAGATCAGGCTGTAAATCAGCTAAACACAAAAAGCTCCTCAAGTCAATTTTATGAGGTGTAAAAAAGAGATAATGCCAACTGGATTGTAGGAGACTTGTCTCATGTCTGTGACTCCTCATTCCTTCCTTCTCTGACTGACTTGTCACCTGGCCTTCATAGCACCATAGAAAAATGCCTTGTACCCTATCAGACCTTTGGTTTATCAAGCTCAGTCATATCTACATTGCGTGGCAACAGCTCTCTGACACTTTTGGCCCCTGAGATGCTAGGAGCTGAACCTTGGATCTTCTGCATGCAGAATGAATATTCTACCACTGAACTTTAGACATATGAAGCTGCCTTATACAGAGTCAGACCATACACCCTTATGATGAGCTGCTGTTAGTAAAGACCATACAGAGCTAGATGGACCAATTGCCTTGACTCGGTATAAAGCAGCTCCCTGTATTCCTGGGCAGTTGAAGTATCAGGGTTGTAAAAGGCTCCCTGTTTGGGCCCTGGACAACAACTGTTTCAGTTTCACTCTTACACTTTGCTCACTTTCTTCTTTCCTGGGCTATCACTCCTGGCTTGATCCCTTAGTTAGGGCTGCCATATATCCAGAATACTGCATCCGAAAGCAGATTCCAGGTGGAAATCAGGTAAATGTCCGGGAAAATACGGGTGTATGGCACCTGATGTCGGCAGTGTCATTTTTCTCGTTTCCCCTTTAAAATAGCTTTTAAAAATGCCCAATTTCTTTGCGATTTTGCAAAAAAAGGCTCAACTACTTTGGCCCACTCCCCCAGCTCTGATCCCCTGGTGCAATTCCTAAGCCCTGGCTGTCCTCTGTCAATGACGTTGAACTCAGCCCTGACATTGGACAAGTTTCGAATTGTGGTGGCTGGTGCTCTTTGGGTCTTGTGGCAGAAAGCAAGGAGACCAGCAGCAGGTGGAGCCAGAGCCAATCACAGGAAGATCCACCCCTTGACTTGCTGTAATTTAAAAAGGCAGGCAGGTGAGGCCTGGCTAAAGGCAGACTCGGGTTGGTGGAGCAGTGACCCACATGCCCAAATGGACCAGCCTCCACAGCTTTTGGATGCATAGCCATCATAGGTCATTTTTAACCAGCAGGCCTTTTAACCCCTATTCCAACTTTTAACTAGGGGAGGGAAGACAGAGCAAGGCACTCATGGTGTGTCTTCATCACCAACACCGCCACTGCCTTCTATTCTGTATGGAGTCGATTTGCAACTGGCATTAACAGGCATTCAATGGGTGCACCCATGAAATACACCGAACTGCTCCCAGCAACAAGAACAACAACTGCCACCCTCCAGAATGGAGAACCTAGTGCTGTGTGCCTGTGTGTCTGATTGAGAAGCTTGCTTGCAAAATTAAATTTACACTCCAGAACGTTGTGCTCCTAAATCTCTGGCTACCGCGAGGGTAAAGTTGCCTGCGAGCAAATATAGACAACAAATTACAAACGATACCATTTTTGACAAAGTACTAGGCAGTAGTTGAAATATAATGAGGCACTTGTAGAGAAATGCCCCTCCACCAAGCGAGCATTTGTTGGGCGGATTAGGCGGCATTCCTTCTCCTCTATTGAGTGGTGTCACAAGCTAATAAATATTTCAGAATTGGCTGTATTCAGTCCAGCCCTTGTCCCGGTTGACGTCTGTTCTCTCAGTTTTCAGAAGGAGACAGGTGCAGAAGGATGAAAAGGGATTTAATTACTAAACATCCCAACTCCCAAACACATGCTGTACTTTTTACTCTGCGCCCAAACACGAACACACACGCAGACACGCAACCCTACTGTACACACACACACACAGGGGTGGTTTGTTTGTTTGTTTTGCATACACTCTCACACACTACACATGTGTTGTGCAATGCACAACAACAATGACAGAACCATCTCCCCGTTTTATGCCCAAAGCCAGGGTGTTCCATTACATGCAAGCCTATTGAGCCTGTTTTATTACACTACCCTGGGGAAATGACCCTTTGCCTTCAAACTCTGGCTTTGTGTTATATGTCCAAGGGGTGAATCACAAGCAGGGAGGTATGAAACCCCTTGAGAGATTTTTCTTGTCTTCTCAGACTTCTGTTGCCTTTCCTAGAAGTTCCTCGTGCGATTTGTCAGAGTTACTCAGAGTTGCACTTTACACAAAATTTCAACAGCTGTTTTGACCTTGTGTGAGTCAGCGTTGTGTGCATGCCACAGCTTGCTGCATGGTTGTGCCACTTTTTCACAGGATCCTTACATAGGAAGCTACCTTATACAGAGTCAGACCAACTTTCCATCTAGCTCAGTAATGTTTACACTAGCTGACAGCGGCTCTACAGGGTTTCAGGCAGGGGACATCAGCCCTCTGAAGATGCCAGGGACTTGAATCCAAGTCCTTCTGCATGCAAAAGAGATTCTCTACCACAAAGTTATGGCTTTTCTGTTGGCTGACTGGTTGCGTTGAGTTGTGGTGACATTGTCCCAGCCTGTGAAATGAGCTGCTTTGTGCAAACACTTCACTGTGTGCAGCCACCTGCCCCCTAAGGTTGATCAGAACCAAGAGGACATAGCCAACTTTTAAGCCTTTGGCTCCCTTTCCATAAAAGCAATGGATTGCCTTGTATCAAGAAGTTTTTAATGTTTGATATTTTACTATGTTTTATATATGCTGTAAGTCACCCAGACCGGCTGGTGAAACCCAGCCAGATGGGATATAAATGTTGTTGTTGTTGAGATTTCACACACACCTTTTGGCTACATGCTTTAGGTGAATAAGACACGTGTGCTCGCTTTTACCCCGAGGCCCATCAAAGTATTGATGTTGGGCTCCACTCTAGGATCTGCCACTGGAGGAAGAGGGGGAGTGTACAGCCCCCGGCAGCACAATTCCGGCAGGGTGCCATCACGGATGCCCCCCCCCGCACTGGGTGCCACGCCCCCAGGACACACACCACGCCCCTGCAGGTGGCGTGCCCTGCCCCCAGGACGTGTGCCAGCCCCGCCCCCGCCTGCTCTCCACCACTGGGATCTGCCACACCTTTTCTCATGTTTGTGACTTTTTAAATTTAAAGTTGAGCATAGATTTAACTCACATTGAGGGTGTCAAGGAGCAACTGGAGTTTGAACCAGAGCAAGTGCCCCATGTGATAAGCCACCGAATCACACATTGCACCCCTGGTGTAAGCAATTTAGTATCGTCGTGCCTAAGGTGGCCACTGGATCCTCCTGGGCAGGAAGGAATATACAGAGCTTCCTGCTCCAGATAAGCCTTCTTTGATCAACAAGGCCTTCCTGGGCATGTTGTTTCGTTGTCTTTTGATCCTGAGATTGCACTTCCAAGTTGGATCCCCCTGAAATATTCTTCAGCCTTGGCTACTCAGTCCTGAGCTGCCCCAACTGTTCTCTGTTGTTTTTGTTTTTTGACAAGCCATCTGCTTTTGCTACAGAAACCCTAGGAGAGAGAGCAGCAGTGAACCTGAATGGTGGGTGGTTGACTGGTAGTGCAAAAGACAGGAAAACTAACCAAATGTAGAGTCAAAGCCAATGACAGGCAGAACCAGCTACTTCTAGCGTTGTTCTCTGAGTTCTGCGAGGACAACCCTGACACCAGATAGGAGGAATCTGACAGGCAGTGTTACCTTGTTGGGCTGGTTGTAAGCTGGAAGGCAAGAGAGAGCAGTTGGTGGGGCAGTGCCCCATTAGTCCGCCACTCATTAAAGCAGCCTTCTCCAATATGGTACCCACCTAGATGTCGTCAGACTCCAACTCCCATAAGCCCCAGCAATCATGGCCAATGGCCAGGGACACTTTGTAGTCCAAAGCAAATGGAGGACGCCACATTAAGGAAGGCCAAGAGTCTTGATTCTGATGCCATCAAAGACTACTCCTTTCTCCCATTTTCCTTTTCTTTTTTTAAATTGGTTGCCTCGGCGTGGGCAGAGATCTGGATCTGAGAGCTGCAGCTTGTCAAGATGACGCTAAATGCTAAAGAAAGTACAAGTGATGGATGAGTGGAGCAGATGGTTTTGTGTCTGGTCGAAGGAAGAGAAAGTGTCACTCAGGTCCAATAGAGAATAGCATCGGATGCAGATCTTGGTTAATTAGTACATCAGAAAATTGGGGAGGGAGGAGGAATTGTGTATCTTTTTAACAGGGGCTTTTAAAGACGTCCATGAATTATTAAGGAGGGAAACCGCTTTCTTTTGTTTTATTGGAGTTAACCATCGGAGAGTTACCGGCATGATAGTTTTGGGCATATGTTCTGAGTTAATAAGCAGTGGATGGCACAACCAGGCAGATGCAGTGAAACTCTGCTTCGGTGCCAAAATTCATACCTGACCCCCTTCGGCGATTGCCTTTTGTCACAGGCGTAAGATGGCAGTGTAGACATAGCTCATGGTTTGTTCTTGGCTACAGCTCGAGGTTAGTGAGAAGAGACCTTAACCTCTACTGCCAGCTCAGAGGACATATGACATTTCAGCATGCCACAGTAGTTAAAAAAAAAAAAAAAGGACCATTGAGGAGCAAAGTGTACCATTGGGGAAGGAACTATAGCTCAGTTGTAGAGCATCTGCTAAGGATGCAGAAGGTCCCAGGTTCAATCCCCAGCATCTCCAGATGCTTGGAGCCATTGTAGAGAAGACTTGTCTAGATGCTTTGACTCAGTATGATAAGCCCATTTTCTATGTTGCTCTTTCAGAGCCAGCATGTTCACCTGGTCTCAGTAACTTACAGTTTGGCTTACCACGTCATGCTAACTAGGCCACAGAGTTCCCTTCACTCCTCTCTTCAATATGGTTCCTCTTTGTGGGACATAGGAAGGCAGGTCAGGTTACTTGCTCATCTATCCCAGTACTGTCTACTCAAGGGATGGGGAAACCATTTTTCCTTTAGACTCCAACTTCCATGGCCAGCGTTGTCATGCCTGGTCTAGGCCCAAGTCCGGATGACTCCTCCTTGAACTGAGACCCTAGTGGCACAAAGTCCAAAGACTTTGCAAGGCTTCCTGGCTCCTGCACTGCCCCAGATACCTCCAGCATCCCCAGAGAAGTGATGTCAGGTCCACCTGCAGCAGAGAACCCTGAGACACCCATGGATGGTGTTCCGAACTCACCTGTAGAAGTTATTTCCCCGTAAGAGTTAGGATGGGAGGTCAAGCTACCTCCCAGCCCCAGGAAGCACTGGCATCAGAAGATGCAGGCAGAGGCATCCGCCTGTTGATGGAGTGTGCTCTTCAAGACCCAAAAGAGAGGAGAGCAGACTACCACCCAGCATCATCAGTGCTTTGCAATGGCCAAGTCTCTTTAAAACCATCTAAGCTGGTGGCCAGCTACAAATTAACTATCTGTTGTGTGAAATACTTTCCTTTGTCTGCCCTGAAATCTCCAGCCAAATCAGTTTTCATGCCTCTTGAGTTCTAGTGTTATTAGTTAGGGAGAGTGCACTGGAAAATCGTGGTTTGTGTCTAAAGCTAGTCCTGCTCAGAGTAGAACCAAACGTTAATGGGCATTCCTAACTTAGGTTCCTTAATTTCAGTGGGTCTATTCTGAATATAACTTAGCTGGCTACAACCTATTTTCTCCTAATCATGCACCATTTTATAAATTTATTTTGTGCCTCCCTGCCCCCTGCTGTGCCAGGTCCCCAGAGGTGTATGATATCCCCAGAAATGATTAATCCCTACAATCAATTAGTGTGGGGAAATAAATTTGGTTTGGCTTGCATTGGAATGAAAACTTACCTTATCCACACTTCCTGAAAAAATACACAAACCAAAATGAAGCCTTGAAAATTGGCACTTATCTGAATTTTGTGGTGCAATTCTCCAGCCAGTTGATGTGTACAAAAATATGTCTATTACGGGAAAGTGTGCATAAATGTGCCTATATTAGCAAATATATAACATGCAAAATGCATTATATTAAGGAAGTTTGCTAGCAAAAATATTAGGAGACATGTAAAATGCTGGTCTCTGTTGTCAGAGACAGTCTGCCTCTAGGAATTGCAGTTGGGAAGAGGGCTGTTGTCCTCAGGTCCTGCTTGTGGGCTTCCCATAATTGGCATCTGGTTGGCCACTGTGAGAACAGGATGCTGGACCAAATGGATATGAATCATGTTCTTAGGTTCGAATTTTCATGAGATTGAAGATTTGCAAATTGATGCAAAAGCGCGGAGAACTAAACTTAAGACATGAAAAATATGAGCAACTGAGAACAACCACATTTGACAACTCCCTCCATCTCTGCTCTAGGTACAGTACCCTGAGGGTAGTAGGGTTGTGCTTCACCACCTTTGCTTTTGATTCAAATGCAACCCTTGGTTGCCTTTGGAGACTTGTTCAAACTCCTACGGAACCAGAGCTGGCTGCCTGGGTAAAGCCTGACAGAAATGCAAAAGCAAGGAACACAGAAGCAAAAGCAAGAGAGGGAGCTCAAAGGCTGAGGAGAGGAGCCTGTGATTTCCCGTGCACTGGGGTGGGTGTTTTGCTATTATTATTTATCTCCCCCCCCCCCGGCACATCCACCTCCTTTTCAGTCTGCCAGAGCTTCCAACAAGACAGTTATGCTAAGAGATGAAAGGGCAAACAGTCTTTCTGCCTCGCTCCCCCCCATTCCTCTCAACCCCCCCTTTTTGTGGTTTTCCAGAGAGCCCATTGGCTGCCGCCTGAGATATCCTGAGAGATGCGGCAATTAATTTTCTTTTAATCAAGGTCGGATGAAGTAAATTGGTGCAGCTCTGCAGCCCCTCATTTTCTGTTTTTGCAGTGATGCAAAACAAATATGATCAAATTATGCTCCTTCTCACCTTATTGAATTAGGAAGCGTGACTGATCCAGAAGAGCTGAGATGTGATATATACTGTATGCCAAACCCTCACCATCTCCCTCCCTTCTGCCACCTACCCACCTACCACCTCAAACCTCCATCATGGCCAAGGCCACTGGAACATCAGATGGTGGACATTTGTTTCCAGCTGGGCCACGGAAACTTCCTTCCCTCCCTCCTTCCCCCTTCCTCATTCCTTCCCTCTCTCCTTCTTATGCAGTTGCTTCAGGGGTTGCTTAATGGTATGATATATATTTTCAAGACCTCAGCTCGGGGCCAGCCCAAAACATTTTGATGCCTGAGGTCACCCCTTACGTTCTGTATACAGAGGCCAAGCACTTTGGCAGTTGAACCTAAGCAATGGTGGCAATGGGACAGCATCCTCCCCTGGTGGATATTGCTTTGCCTAATGGTAGGGTTGGTGTTTCCAGTTCTTGACTCGGTTGTAAAGCATGCTTAAGGAAGTCACTCTACCTAGCCTGACTCATAGGGCAAGTTGGGAGGACAAGATGTACTCACTCCACATCCACCACCCTGAGCTCTATAGAACATGGGTGGGGAAGCTGTGGCCCTCCAGATGTTGCTGGACTCCCGTCATTATCATTGTCCCTGACCATTGGCCATGCTAGCTGCTAGGAATTGGTGGGGATACAAACTCCCCAAGCCTGTTGTAATCTCTCTCTCCCCCAACCTGCATGGGCAACAGCAGGCCCCACCCACAGTTTTCAGGCTGCTTTGTCATCCAGCCCAAATGCACACTTACACCACTCTGCTTAAAGGATTCAGATATTTCACCCTTTGGATCACACAGTCTTAGACGTGGCTTGCAAGAAATGTCGCAAATCAGTTATCAGCAATGGGGTAGCTACTGGGTGATGTTTAAGGTGTGTAAAGCCGTATACAGTGGTACCTCGGGTTACATATGCTTCAGGTTACATACGCTTCAGGTTACAGACTCCGCTAACCCAGAAATAGTACCTCAGGTTAAGAACTTTGCTTCAGGATGAGAACAGAAATCGTGCTCCAGAGGTGCAGCAGTAGCAGGAGGCCCCATTAGCTAAAGTGGTGATTCAGGTTAAGAACAGTTTCAGGTTAAGAACGGACCTCCGGAACGAATTAAGTACTTAGCCTGAGGTACCACTGTACCAGGGGTAGGCAACCTAAGGCCTGGGGGCCGGATGTGGCCCAATTGCCTTCTAAATCCAGCCCACGGATGGTCCGGGAATCAGCATGTTTTTACATGAGTAGAATGTGTCCTTTTATTTAAAATGCATCTCTGGGTTATTTGTGGGGCCTGCCTGGTATTTTTACATGAGTAGAATGTGTACTTTTATTTAAAATGCATCTCTGGGTTATTTGTAGCGCATAGGAATTTGTTAATTCCCCCCCCCCAAAAAAATATAGTCCGGCCCACCACATGGTCTGAGGGACGGTAGACCAGCCCACAGCTGAAAGAGGTTTCTGACCCCTGCCCTATACAGTATAGCTTGGGACCAGGTTGCCTGTTGTTTGTTAAGGGTGCTGGGAATTGCAGCTGTGGCTGGAGGGTAAACTACAGTTCCCAGGATTCTTTGGGAGAAGCCATGTGTTTTAAATGCAAGGAGTAAATGTGAACCAAGTATTGTTTATTCTGATTGGCAGCAGCTCTCTGGGGTCTTAGGCAAAGACAGGACTTTCCACTATGTGCTTTCTGAACCCTTTTCACTGAAGATGCCAGGCCATTAGGTGAACCTGGGACCTTCTGCATGCACAGCGGGTGTCCTACCACTGAGCTGTGGTCCCTTCCCCCAAAATAGGGCTCTTCCCATCCTAGCAAATACATTTGTTTGGAACAAACTGTGTACATGTCATTTTCCCATTGCGGTGCTCTTGTTTCATGGGCAAAAAATAGGCCCCAGCTGTTAATCTGGAAGTAGGCAAGCGTCTCAGACCGATTCCAGCACAAAACAGCCATGAGGGCAATGTGCCCGCTGCCCAGTGGAGATTTTGCATATTGTTATCTTGTTCCCTTAATCTAAAATGAACGTGATTCTGACCGACAGCATCTGTTTGCTCGTTGCGTCTGGAAAACGTAACTCAGGCCAAAATTGTTGCTAGCTGAAATCTATGTTTATAGACAGGACCATATGTATACTGTGAGCCCAGATTTGCAGGCTACTGACATAAATAATCAGGTTTAGTGCATTCTAAGGGTCTTAGGGCTCATCCACACCTTTTGCCCCATGACTTCTAGGCTGCACTTTAAAGCTTCATGTCTGAGCAGTTTTTTAATTTTTTTGCTCAGCTGCTTTCCCCTGGAAAATTCGCTCTTTACCGCTGAATCTGAAAAAACATCAATTCAGGTGTTCCATGGGTTTCCACTTACTCTGATTCAGAGTTAAAGAGCAGGTTTTTGCAGGCATTGGGGAGGGGGGAAGCACAGACACAGATCTTTAAAGTACAGACCTATGTCTAGAAACGTGGCACAAAAGGAAGTCTGGAGGAGCCCTTAGCTTTTGTTCTTTTCTTTTTTAAAAAAATGTCAAGTTTCTAGTCCCCAAGGCTGTGAGCATAAGAGCGGGAGGATTTGGGCAATGACTCCTGCAAAACCTGAAATCAAAATAGGATCTGAGCAGGATTTTAATGTATTGTCAGGGCTTTTTTTAATGCTTTAACATTTTATTATAATATTACATTATGCTTCAATATGCACAATGTACTACATTATTTATAAAAACATAAGAAGAACCTTGCTGGATCAGGCCAGTGGTCTACCATGTCCTGCATCCTGTTCTCATAGCATCTAACCAGCC